TACTACTTATAATGACTTTCTTGGCATATGAAGTGTTGTTATTTTCTCATTGCTCTCAAGATTCTCTTTTTGCCTCTTTCAGAAGCATGACTACAATGTACCCACTTGTGACTTAGTTTATATTTATGTTATTGGGATTTTGGTGGACTTCTTGAATTTAACTTCCTTTTTAACAAGGTTGAAATAGTTTCCACCATTATTTGTTCAAATAATTTTCTGCCAAACATTTCCCTCTCCTTGTAAGATCTTAATTACACATGTCACAACTTTTGATGTTATCACATTGATCTCTTGTAAAAATTATTTTTATTCCCCTCTCAGATTGCATTATTGTTCTTATCAAATCCAGACCATTTGGGGGTATACAAGCTAAATTGTAATATGTTCCTTAGGGGGAACAATGATTGTAATTAAGGGATGAGCCTCATAAAACATAGGGCAGAGCAACTTTTTAGTGCTAATCTCTGACTTCCTCCCCAACTTTATATTCAATTAACAGGAAACAAAATTTGCAGATTCCCAAATTTGCTACATGAGGTTAGACAGACACAACTCAGTCCTTCCTGCATCCTGCTTGGACTGGCTACCTGCAGAGAATACACTTTCGGATCTGCTCCAACAACAGTGAATTTTAAAAGGGCACCATCTTCCTCTGAATTTATACTGAAATGAGTACCTTTTAACTCTGGAATCCAAAATAACAAGTCTATTATGTTCAATACCTAATGTATAGTCTCAGAAAGATAAACACAGAGAAAAAAAATGCTATTGTGATCTTTATATCCCTGATTTTCTGCATGGCTCTTTCTATTCTGAATTCACTCTTGATTAACTCCCTCCTAATATTGTTCCATATTTTTATATCTCCAGTGTTTTTTGTGGGTCCCTTAACCCAAGCTTACTCTACCAAATAATTCCAATGATTTCTTATGGGTACATGTAAGAATTTGACACTTTTTTCAATGAACATGTTTAGATATGTAAAATACTTTGGGAGAAAATTGGGAGTGTTCCATATCAGAATGTATTAAGCACCTTCTCTCTTACTTTTTACCATTCTCAATGGTAAGAGAAGCATTATGTGTGGATGGGATTCTCCAACATTGGAAAGAAGAGGGCATTTCAGTATCTTCTTCCCCTAGGCCCATGTAGGTTCCCCAAATCTTGGAACCAAACAGGTTATCTTGTCAAACCTTGACAATCCCTTTTAAATTTCTTCAATTCCAAAACAGACAACATTTACATATGTCCATATAACACACTGGGTGAGAAGACTAGGGTTCTTTACCAATAAGAGAAAGAACAGGGATTGTGACTTGATTTCAAAAAAAGAAATATATCTGCAGAAAAAAAAAAATTAGTGTCCATAAATGAGGTATATTAAATTTCTCAAAAAACTTTTAAAATGCAAACATCTTTGATGATTGAAGAGTTTAAGTCAGATGACTGGCTATTTCATTGGGTAAAAGGAAGAAAATAATTATAGAACATGGATTTTCTTGGAAAGCAGCTTTTATTGAATATTTGGAAAAGTAAAATATGAAGAGATCATATTTAGCAAGAACTTCTGGTGGTTAAGATTTATTTTAAGGAACTTTGGGCCTTATAGTATTGATTCCTCTGATCAGCCCTATGAGGTGGCTACAATTATGATCATGATGTCATAGGTGATGGCACAGAAGCATCAAGTTCTTAAGTCAAAACAACTGAGATCTAGTGAATAATTGTGTGTCAACAGAGGTACTTTTTAAATAATCTTCAAGTAAGTCTGTGAATAAGAATCTATTTCTATCATATTTTCCAGCATAAGAAACTGAGCCAGAGCAGTTATGCAGCTGAGGCATGGGGCTAAGGTAGTACATATAGAAAATACATTGAAATGACCTGGTTTCATTGCCAATGTCCTTAAACCTTATACTGTACTGCTTATTCCCATTTGTAAATTGATCAAGAACTTCCATGAAAACATCTGTATGATGATGTTTATCACTGTGCAAAACTACTTAGCATGAATTTTTGGCACAGAGAACACAAAAAACTGGATGGGAAGTTAAGATACTACTAATTTTTTTTCATCTATTTCCCAGTATTTTTCTTTAGCCAACTAATGTATCTCATGAAATATAATGAGAAAAAAAATATTCCCAGGGCTTTTATGATAGCTTAGGTTGTTTTTCAGTGAACCTTAATTTCTTCAATCTGACCACCTTGGGAAGACATATGATCCAGACAATCAATGGTAAGTTTGGCCATGTGACTTGCTTTCACAATATGGTATGAATAGGATGTGATAGCTTATGAGTTCAGAGTCTAGGTATTAAGATGAAGTTTCTCCTTGATGCTGATCTCTGCCATAAAAGGTCATATATCAGCTAGCCCACTCCTCTAAGAATTAAAAAAAAAAAAAAAGATGTGAGCTGAATCTGTAGTCTAGAGTCAAGTCCTTACATATCTAGCCTTGATCAACAAAAACTCAGCCAAATCACAAACTAATGAATGAGAAATAAATACTTATTTTTATTTTTTATTTTTTTTAGAGATTTTATTTATTTATTTGACAGAGAGATCACAAGCAGGCAGAGAGGCAGGCAGAGAGAGAGAGAGAGGAAGAACAGGATCCCTGCTGAGCAGAGGGTCCAATGTGGGACTCAATCCCAAGACCCCGAGTCACGACCTGAACTGAAGGCAGAGGCTTAACCCACTGAGCCACCCAGATGCCCCAATAAATATTTATTTTTTTTAAAGATTTTATTTATTTATTTGTTAGAGAGAGCGAGAGAGAGCGAGCCCGCGCAAGGACAGACAGAGCAGCAGGCAGAGGCGGAGGGAGAAGCAGGCTCCCTGCCGAGCAAGGAGCCCGATGTGGGACTTGATCCCAGGACACTGGGATCATGACCTGAGCCGAACGTAGCTGCTCAACCCACTGAGCCACCCAGGCGCCCCTAAATATTTATTTTTAAATGTCAGTGCAGACTAGGGTTGTTTGTTACACAACTTTAGCAATTAGTTATAGCTACAATTTACATATTATCTGAAATTGATTTTGAATAGTCATTTAATTTCTCTATATAAGGAATAAGTACAGAGAATACAAAGAATGTGTTTATATTCAAAAAGATAAATGTATATGAAATATGAAATTATTTTGGAAATAATAATCCAGTAATCTCTTGTACTTTATAATTGAATTCGGGTAGAAATACCTCTGAAACATCAAATTAGTAAACTTTTTTCCTGAATTCTGGCAATAACTAGCTGCTTTACCCATACAAATATTTTATACTTTTAAATCTTGTTTTCTTTACTATTTAACATTTTAATTTTTGAATCATGGTATTTTTTAGCATGCTACTAAAGAGTGACAGAAGTGGGTACATGGAGAATTGAAAAAAAAATCTCTTCCAATATATCTGAAATCCAGCTGAGGGAAACAACATGGGAAAAAGTATGAAAGGACAGTGGTTATATCCAATGAGAAACCAACCGCTACCAAAAAAAAAAAAAAAAAAAAAAGCACCTAACCTTGACAGTGTTGCACTAAAAGAGATTCACATAATTTACTTTGGTTCCATTCTCTGAGGATATGGGGCATATGTGAATGGCTCTTAAAGAGCAGCACTGTGGTTGTTGCATAATAACCCTGAGTGCCTGTTAACAATTTAGTACTTTCAGCTGTAAATCTACCCATCCCTCTGTGCCCTGTTCTCAGATAATGGAGCTAAGTGCTATAAACTTTTCTCCCCTGTCAGTTCTCATGAGGTTGAGTTTTGTCAGTAAAAGACAATGGAAAGACACTGCATCAGAAAGGGCATGTGATGTGATGAGCACTGTGTGTTATATGCAACTAATGAATCATTGGACACTATATCAAAAACTAATGATATATAATATGTTGGGGAATTGAACATAAGAAAAAAAATAAAAGAGAAAAGAAGAGGCTCTACTTCCTGGTTTCATGGTCTTTTCAAGGTGTTTGGCTATGGCCTGGTTGCCAACTGCATGTATGCAGGAAGTCCTATGTATTTGAACAGACTCTAGCAGGTTTTTGTAGCTAGTCCCAGTCAGTTTCCTATCCTTTGGGAAGGGACTCCTAAGACTCTGACAGGGAATTCCTCCTGCCTGCCAGTCACAGTCTGAGATCCATGCTCACCAATTTCAGTCTGAGGGTTATGGAGCTGCTCTGTCCCAAGCCAATACCATAGGCATACCTGTCATGAAGCCATGTATAGCTACATGTCTTCAATAACATCTATATCTCATCCTCAGAGAGTAGACCTAGCTTTCTCAGAAATTCCTTCTTCGGATACTCTCCTTTAATCCTAAGGTATTCTTACTATTTTCTTTATCTTAGTAGCCTTTCCTCTTAGTAAACTTTCCCTTACAAATAGAAACTAATTGTTTACATCAAACTTCCTCTGGTTTCTGTCTCCTGACTCAATTCTGACTGATTACCTTGCCATCTTGGGTTGTTTAACTCTAATTTGCAACCCCTATAAAGGCAAGGAAAAATCAATTAATTTGGAAATATGAGCACAATTACTCAATATATTGGGAACTTCACAATAATATTATGATTTGTAATTTATATGTATAATTATTTTAGTGAATAGCAAAAGCTTAATAAATGTATAATATGTACCTTAGTATATATATATTTTTACTTTAATATAAATAAATCTTGAAAAACAGTCCAACAACACCAAGGGTGAAACCTCATGTATAAACTAAATTTTGGATGATTATGACACATTGTTGTAGATTCATTTCTGGTCATAAAAGAACCATTCTAGTGAGGGATATTAATAATGGGGGAGAGGCAGGTGTGTGGACAGGGGCAATAGAGGAAAACTCTAACTTCCTCTTAATTTTGTTGTGAACATAAAACTTCTCTAAAAATTATATCTGAAAAATATTCTGAGACAATAATTGCATGGCTTTTGGAGAAATGAGAAACATGTTCTTTATATATGGTGGGATAGCATTATACCAAAATTAGGTAACTAAAATGCCTGGTGCTTACAAATGTATGTTTTAATTTCTAAACAAGATGTAAAAAAAACTTTCTCCAGTCCAAAATTGAAATATGGACAAGCCCGGTCACTCTCTGATGATACTGCCAACCTAAAATACAGAGAATTATACCTCATTAATCTTACCAATATATACCTTATATACCATAATATTTTGATGAGTTAACAATTTAGTTCAACTAATAGTTATATACCTCGATCAGAATATTTTCCATATAATTTACTATGAAAACATTTCAACAATTGTGTTTATATAATTGTTCACATATTGCTGTTTTTCATTGTAAGATTAATTCTTTTAAGGTACAAAATACAAAAGTTCTTAAGAAACTTACGTTTTGGAAGAGAAAGTTGAGGGTTTCAGCTGCACAGATGGATTATTATTGCTTGTCTGGGAGACTCCAAGCCATGAAGAAGAAATTAAGAGGCCTAACAAATGCTGTGAGAAAACAAATTTTATTAGAAGTCAAATAAAATCTCTTATATTCAGTTGAATTTTGCAGTAACAAAGTTAATTCTTGCCTTATAGAATCTTTCAAATTTTAATGTTACACAGTAGACATGTTACAAAACTACCTTCTAAGTAGGAGTAAGGGAAGACAACAAAATTACAAAGATAACAATTTCAGGGTTCTGAAAATTGATAAAAGCTCAATAATTCATGAAATATTTACAGTGGAAAAAACCCTAGAGATTCAAGTAAGAAGCATCATATTTGTTGCTTAGGATTATTGTTGTCTGGGATTGCTTTGTGGCTCCCCACCAGCCCACCCCAGCTCAGTGATCAAGACGAATTGTAGTTTTTACAGTTTGGAGAAGCTGCAGAAAGCAATGGTGTTGGTGCCACAGGGGAGACTTGATTAGCAGTGGGGAAGACAGTGAGAGAGCCCATTGACTTTTCAGCTCAACGTGATTATTTTGCTTGGTAATGAATGAGAAAAATGTATACTTTTACTAGTCTAAGGTTGTGGCTTTGTGTCCAGCACTGTGACCCCCCTCCCATAAATATAATGGGAAGGTACAATAAAGGAAAGTGTGACTGAAGAGATGATATGAGCTCTCTACACACTCCTGGCTGATGGAAAATACATGCTTGGGGAGAGGAGACCAAAATGATCCTAGTAGAAAGTAAAGGTGAAGAAGACTTAAGAACTGCTATAAAGTTATGAGGACTCTCCACACTCATGTGTGCATGTGCATGCACACACACATACACACACACACATATCACCTGGCAGAGGGTGGAAGCCCTACTGACTTGTGGCATTTGAACACAGTCTTTAAAAAAAAAAAAAATAGTGGTTGACATCTAAGCTAAAAAATCGCAAGGATCATACCCAGGAAGATAGGTTAAAAAATAAAAATAAACAAGATGAATTTGGAAATACTGAACAAAAATATCAGGAGACCAACTTTAGATAAGATTCTGTAGTAAAGTTTATGCAACTTATAAGAAAATAATAAATCTAAGAAAAATGAAATAGAATTAATGTTCACTTAGCTACATTATCAAAATGTCTTTCAAAAAAATTTAAAAAAGGGGCAGCTGGGTGGCTTAGTCGGTTAAGCAACTAACTCTTGATTTTGGCTCAGGTCGTGATCTCAGGGTCCTGGGATCAATCCCCACATCAAGTTCCATGCTTAGCATGGAGTGTGCTGGGGTTTTTCTCTGTCCCTCTCCCTCTGCTCCTCCCCCTATTTGCACTCTATCTCTCTTGCTCTGTCTCTAAAATAAGATAAATATATCTTTAAAAGGAATTAATACATACAAAAAACCGTGAAAATATCTTCCATGCTAAGAGAAAGCATAGGCCAACAGAAATTTCTACTGGGATAAGATGTTACATTTATTAGAAAAAAAGTATTTTAGGGGCGCCTGGGTGGCTCAGTTGGTTACACCACTGCCTTCAGCTCAGGTCAGGATCCCAGAGTCCTGTGACTGAGTTCCATATCAGGCTTCCCCTGCTCTACAGGGAGCCTGCTTCTCCTTCTGCCTGCCACTCCCCCTGCTTGTGTTCTCTCTCTCTTTCTCTCTCTCTGTCAAATAATAAATAAAATCTTGAAAAAATATTTTTAAGTAATATTTACAATTATATGTAAATTATAAAGAAACAATGTTCAAATAATTAAGTGAACATATGATGGCAGCAATATAAGAGTAGGAAGTATCAATAGAATAATAAAAATATATGAATAAATCCCAGAAAATTCTCAGTTTATGAATACATACTTGAAATGAAAGTTCACTTATTAGCTCTACAGAATATGTGATATGCAGAAGAGAAAGTTGATGAAATTGAGGAAGGGGTAACAGAATTTATTCATCCTATAGGATAAGAGAGAAAAATTAATAGAGTTCATAGATCTTCAAAAGAGCTTCAGGAAATACAGCATAGATCTGAGTACAAACTGAGAACCACAGAAGCGAAAAAAGCAGAACAACAATCTTAAGTCACAATGAACAAACAACTTATTAAAATACCATTTTAAAAATACTTATGGAAACCACAGGCTAGAAAACTGATAGGATGATTACATACAAATCCACATCTCAAGATGTCATAATGATACCACCAAAAATCATTTGCAAACACAAAGAAATGCTCTTGAGGGAACAGGGTGGATTATGAGGTGACTTAAGTCAGTGTGAACATCAGGGAATGGGTGATAATATCCTCCACCTCCCACAGCCTTAGACCACATCATCTACTACAGAATCCATATCTGCCCTGCACACTATTTCAGACAGGAGGGGGTAAACTCAGCCAAAGAAACACAAAGCCCCAGGTCCTACATCCTCTATGGAACGAAACTTCAAAATACACCCAGACACATAGTTCATGTATATTCGTTTTGATAAGGGTGCCAAGTCCATTCAATAGGGAAAGGATGGAATCTTTCATAAATGATGATGGGAAATTGACTATCCACATGCAAAAGAATGAAGGTGGAGGTTACCATTTACACTATGTACACAAGTTGACCCAAAATGGACTGAAGACCTAATCCTAAGATGTAAAACTATGATATTTCTTGAAGAGATCATGGAGAAAAGTAAACATCATATTTGGCAATGATTTCTTGGGTACATCACCAAAATCACAGACCACAAAGGAAAAGTTCACTATAGGCAAATGTAGAACATCAAAACATTTTTGTGCATCAAAGGGCATGATCAACACAATGAAAAGACGGAATGGGGAATAATGCTTGCAAATCATACATAAGACAGGGGGTTCACATCCAAAATATATAAGGAATCCTACAGGTTAGTAACAACAACAAAACCAAATAACTCAATTAAAAAATTGGCAAAAGAATTAAATAAGCATTTTGCCCAAGAAAATAAAAGGTGAAAAGGCTTATGAAAAGATGCTCAGTATCCCTAATGATCAGATAAATGCAAATAAAAACCACAATGAGATATTTCTTCATACTCCATAGGATGGATACTATCAAAGAAAAAAAGTGTCATTGAGAAGGTGGAAAAAGAGGACCCTTGTACACTGTTGGAAGTACAAACTGGTCAGCCATTATGAAGAAGAGTATGGAACTTCTTGAAGAAATTAAAATAGAATTACCATATGAATCAGCAATCCCACATGTAGGAAAATATCTAAAAGAATTGGAAGCAATATCTCAAAGAGCTCTCTGGGTACCCATGCTCACTGCAGTATTATTCATAAAAGCCAAGTGGTAGAAGCAGGCCACGTGCCCACTGAGGGAGGCAGGAATCAAGAAAACATAGGACAAACATAACAACACAATAATATTCAACCTTAAAAAGGAAGGAAATCCTATCACATGGGTTAAATTGCAGGCTGTTATGTTCAGTGAAATAAGCCAGTCTCCCTCTCTCCCTCTCTTCCTCTCTCTCTCTCTCTCTCTCTCTCACACACACACACATACACACACACAAGATACATGATTACACTTATATGAAGTATCTAAAGTAGTCAAGCGGAGAGAAACAGAAAGAAGAATGGTGGTTGAGGGTAAAGTACAGAAGGGGAAATTATTGTTTAATGAGTAGAGAGTTCCAGTTTGACAAGGTGAAAGTTCTAGAGATCTGTTAGGCAACAATGTGAATATACTTATTGCTCCTAAACTGTGTGCTTAAAGTTGGTGAAAATGTGAGGTATAGTTAAGTGTAATGTAAGATGTGAGAGAGTGTATGGTTCCCACCATATGACAGTCTGGAAAAAAACAAAACTCTGGAGACATTGAAAAGATCAGTGGTTAATGGTGTTTCGTGGGGAAGGTAGGATGGATAGGTGGAGCACAGAGGATTTTAAGACAACAAAACTATTCTGTATAACTTCATAATGGTTGATACTTGTTAGTACATATTTCTTAAAACTCATAAAATGCACAATATCAAGAGGAAACCTCAAAGTACACTATGGCATTTGCATGATAAAGATGTGTCAATGTATTTTTTATTAACTGTAGCAAATGAACCACTCCACTGAGGGATGCTGAAAATGAGAAAGTCTACCCACTGTGGGTGTATAGAATTGAAGACAGTAGGAGAATACAGGAAATCTCTGATTTCCTGTGAACCTAAAATTGCACTAAGAAAACAGCATATTTTTTAACATGAATAATGTGGTAAATTTTACATTATGTGGGGTTTTTTTTGCTATAACTTAAAAAATAAAATAAAAGGCAAATATACAAAAAGAGGTGATCTTGACAACAGGAGGAGAAAACTAATTCTTATATTTAGGAAAATAACAATATGATTAACAGATGAATTCTCACCAGTAACAATGAGGAATAAGAGACAAGGAAGGTCAAATCAGGAGCTGAAATACTGAAAAGAAGAAGAAACAAAACAACTTCTCTCCCACACAAAACCCCCAAACAAACAAACAAACAAAAAGAAAAAGACTTTTCAGATATGAATTGTAAATTCAGCAAAACCGTCTTTCAAAAAAGAAGGTGCATAAAGGCACCTTGAGTGTGGGTCTTGTGATTTTTGGCTCATGGTATCATGATATCAGGGTCCTGGGATTGAGTTCCATGATAAGCTCCTTACTCAGTGGGAACTCTGCTTGAGGATTTTTCTCCCTCTCGCTCTGCCCTCCCACATTCACACTTGCTCCTTCTCCCTCTCTCTCAAATAAATAAACAAATCTCTAAAAAGGAAAAGAGGGTGTATAAAGACACCAGGACAAACACAAAACTTAAGAAAATTTCTACTTAGTAGACCTGCTATCCAAAAATATTCTTCAAGTTAAATGCAAATGATGGTAGATGGTAATGCATATACATGAGAAGGAATAGATCAGCAGAAATAGTATGTTGGTAAATCTTAAAATATGTTTATGTATTTCAACTCTTAATTGCCTTAAAGGATAAGATTATTTAAAGTCATCATTATATAACAATATATAGTTGGATGTATATCATATACCTTATTATTTTTAGCATTTG